ATGTGTGTCATGGAAACTCCGAAGGTGAGGTTCTCTTCTGCGAAAAGCTCAACATGGCCTGCGGCAACCCTCGTAATCCCATGCCTCGTGCGATGTCCCAATCTGACGACAAACCTTCTCCTGCAGTCTTAGCCGCCAAATCCCCCACACCTGCCGTCAATGGCATCGATTACTTCGCGAACCAAAACGGCGGCCAATTCGACCCGACCCTCTTTGGAGAGTACCGCGATACCCAGAATGCGATTGTGGGTGACGGCGACTTTACTGGTGGCTTCTTCAATGATGCTTTCCTCAACACTGGTTACGGTAGCCCCTTCCACTTCGGCGACACACCTGCTGTGCAGAAGACGAACCCGCTTGAAGAAATTGAGCGCATACAAGATGGCGAGGACGAGGTAGTCCCCGGCGAGGATGTCAACTCGCTGCTCAACTGCCACAAGATATGGTCAGTACAACCCTATAATCACCTGAGAACTGGTACGCTAACACCGCACAGGGACAAGCTCTCAAGTCGCCCAGACTTCAAAGATGGCACGATCGACATCGACAATCTCTGCTCAGAGCTCCGCGCCAAAGCCCGTTGTTCTGAGAGCGGCGTGGTCGTTGATCACAAGGACGTCGAGGCAGCCCTCAAGCGTCTACCCAAGGACAAACTTCTCGGATAAATATGGCGCACAACCTGCATGGGATGACGGTTAAGGCGTACATGTTTGGCTTCTTTTGGGTCCATTTATTTTCTCATGTTGGCACGGCCAGTCACTCGTTGAGCATGCACTAAGCAACCTTGCAACGATATCATGATACTTGGAAGGGTGGGCATATCGGCGTTCGAAATGGCGAAACGACGAAAATGGTTTAACGGCTGTGGAATACACTGTTCGTGTGCAAGTCGTAGGGTCGATCATTGGATGGTGCTACGGTGACACAACCAGCTTCCTTTATAGTGTTGTATTCAATGAAGTACTTTATCACTACTGCCTACATATGACAGCCGTCCAGCCCACGTGTTTCTTCTACTGTACAGCCCTCTCAGCATTGCGCAAGTGGTTTCACTCCTCTAAGTCTTCTACTCCTCCTCGGCATTGCCGCCTCCAGAACCTCTGCTGCAGCCACCCGGCCTATTTTCCGTGCATAGTCCGCAGCCGTGGATCCGGATGTCACGATGTTGGGATTAGCACCTGCCTCCAACAAGACCTTCACCGCTTCCACGTTTCTGTGATACACTGCTTGGTTTAGAAGCGTGCTTCTCTTGAGGTTACTTCGATCTACATCCATGCCTCTCGCGATGAGGAACCTCAGGGCTGCCATATCTGTCTTTTGCCCTTTGATCGCGCGCTGCATGGCGTTGGGATCTAGCGTTGCACCATGGTCGAGCAGGATCTCCATGGCGTTTACTCGTCCAGATTCAGCAGCTCTTGCTAAGGGAGTTGTGCGATCGGCGCAGGAACCTACCAGTCTGGGATTTGACGTTGTGTTTGGGTTTGCGCCATGGGCGAGAAGCCAGCGGAGAGTGTTTTCGTGCCGGACAGCTGATCTGTGTGTCTGTCAGCGTAAGTCTTCGATTTTCGAGTACCAAGCTTGGTAGAGAAGAGCTAATTGTCTCTGCATGAAAGTCGTAGTGAACCTAGCGTCTTGCCCGGTATATATTGTAAGCGCAGATATTGATAAAGAAGAGATGAAGAGAATGAGAGAAAGGGCTCTCAGCAACGGCATCAAGCAACGAAAGCGCGCTGCAACATTTCCAGGAATACACCTACTCGACTAGACTCGTTCCATACCATAGTCCGCCCAACGTCCATCCTCTCTCTAGCATCAAATCTAGTAGTTCTGTCTCCCCATCTCCCCTCGCAAGCGCATCTCTAAAAGACTTCCAATTTAAATATGCTCCGTACCCGATCAGCGTGTCAATGACCTCCAGAGAAGCCTCCGGCATGGCTACTTGGAGACAGTAAACTTTGTCTTCTTCTGTGATGGCTCGCGTATCTCTCTTAGGACGGCCGCGCTTGGAGAATTTGGCGTGGAGGCCAGGGACATCGTTCGACCGAATTAAGGACACGAATTCGAGGGATAGAGGGTCTGAATGGGGGTATGTTGACATGTTGGGTTGGGGTTAAGGAAAGAGGAACAAAGATGTTCACGCGCGGCAGTCTTACATAGGTTCAGTGAGGCGGGAAGCTGAACACGGAAGGGTTTGCCAAGGTGGCAGCCTAGTGAAAGCAGGACGGGTATGCAGGCGTACGGCGTGGTTGAATTGATGATGACTCACATCTCTGGAGTTGAGAGAACACTGGCAGATATCAATTTGGATGCGGTCATGAGACTACTGTTCTTGACCACAAAATGAAAAGTCCACCTGCGGTCATACAAAACGCCCTTAGTTCTGACGATGTCGATGGTGTACGAGCATGGCTAGAACGACATCGTCCACCCAGCTACGAAATCTTACAAGAGTGTCTCTTACTAGTCATGCCCAGTGGCTCCCTAGAGATGATCGATACACTACTCAAACATGGAGCCACACTCTCATTCTTAGCCTTCCTCGAAGCTTCTGAAAGGAAAGAAACCGCCGTGTTCCAGAAACTCATTAACTACGGCTGGGACGTCGATTCTACGGAGTTCGAGTTACCCGCCGTGCAGTGAGTGAACTATATAGCTTCAGTCTGGCCATGGCTAATCAATTTCAGGCTCGTTCTGGACAATGAACGTTTACTGCGTTGGTTTTTGGACCACGGCGCTAATCCTAACACCAAATCTGTGAGGCGAGGCGCGTCCTGTCTACAGCCTTGCACACCACTCGCTGCCGCAGCAGAGTTTGATGATGATGCGCCTCTCAAATTGCTACTAGCTTACGGGGCTGAGATGGATCCATTGGCACTTTTCCACGCTATTGGAGTTAGGGGCCAAGCAAACGGTATGGCTACTACGATCGCTTTGGTAGAGTGTGGTGCCGATATAAACTATGTGGCGAGGCTTTGGGCGACTCCACTCCACCATGCTGTCAAGTGGGGCGCAGAGGAAAAGTTGGTGTACCTGTTGGAGAAAGGGGCTGATCCTAGGAGAGGGTCTAGGTCGAGTGAGGACACGCCCGCGATGTTTGCGAAGGCCAAAAAGCAGCCGGAGTTAGTCAAAATCTTAGAGGAAGCGGAGGCTAGGCAGGAGATTTAGATGACCACATGCATGCGCTAGGATGCAAAGATATTTCGATGGTGTACGGCAATTGGAATATCTGGTATTGAGTTGGCCCCAGTGTGATATATTGCTAGCCGGGGATCGAATCTATTGGGGATATCTGGGGAAGCTTACAGTTGTTGTTGGACGCATGACGCACCTTTGTAAGTAACCCTGGAAGCGACGTCACGCGAAGCGCTGCTACGCCGCAATACCTAGGTACCACTTGCTGACATACATGGAGATGCAACCACGCCTCTGATTTCATGCAGTTCATCATCATACCGACCAACATCACTGTAGACGCAGCTGTGCTATCACGAGACCATTCGCGAAATATGTGGCCACCATTGTCTAACCATCTACTAGAGATCATCCGATCCGACGACTTGTCCAGATTGAATAACGAATTATCGCAACATCCACCTCTTGACCAAGAAGAGTTGGATAGATGCCTCATATCTGCCATGTCGGAAGCATCTATGGAAACAATTAATGGTCTTGTCAGATGGGGTGCTAAGATGACGGAAGAGTCTTTCTACGCAGCTATCGATCGAGGGAATCCTGCCTTGCTTCAGTTGATGGTCGAAAACGGTTGGAACGTTAATTCCACGGAATATGGTCCCACGGCACTTGAGTGAGTGTATGTTTTGCCACATCTCTAGCCCCTTCACTCATCTGGAATCAGGGCAGCCGTTGAGAATGAAACGCTACTCCGTTGGCTACTCGCACATGACGCCAACCCAAACGCAGAGGCCAAACAAAAACCTGGCTTCAGTGCCGAGCGCTCCACTCCGCTAATTGCGGCGGTCAAGCTCTCTGATCCCTCTCCGGCTAAGATACTATTGTCTCATGGGGCTGATATGGACCCTTTAGCGATGTTTGCCGCCATCAGTGATCACACCTGGTCTAGAGGCACAGAGACTCTAGAACTACTGATTGAACAAAGCGCAGACATCAACTATCGCACAGAGAGATGGGGTTCACCGTTGTGTCACGCCGTTCATTGGATCAAGAAAGATCAGCTGGAAGTTCTGCTGAGACACGGCGTAGACACATCGTATCGTGATATCCGCGGTCAGACGGCAGCAGAGTACGCAAGGGAAATTGATCAGCATGAGTTGGCTGCCATCATAGATGCGGCGTCCAGCACCGCTGTTTCTTGGGGTGTCTCGAGAGACGTGTGTTGGGTTCCCGTAAGAATGACGCCGCTCTGGTGAATGCGCTCTTGGTAGGATGACTTGTTAGACGTGCGTTCTGACATCTCTATGAAAAGTTGTTTTCGGGTTGAGATGCGTTTTCATCGAATACAAGTTTCGCGCTGGGAATACACGTATCGGTGCGTCACTTATTCGGTGACTGATACCAACGATCCGAGGTGAGGGTCGAAATCCAGGGGCTCTCAGCACTTTAAGCGCCATAATGCAGGGGGTTTTGGGTTGGGAGTTGGCGGGTACCAGAGTCTCTTATCCGCAAGCAATGAGCTTGGAAGGGCTTGTTCGAATTCTGTATGGTGCTGTAGCTCTACAATCTCATGTCTTCTTATACATATCATCGTTTCTCATCATCTTAATGCCTTGCCCTCATTCACGCCCCGCTCACTCAAAAGGCCTCATAAGCTCATTGCCTGCCACAGACTCGGCAAAGTTCTCCAATGCCGTAGTATGGCACCAAGGCTTCAATCTGATCTCTTTCAGAATGGTGCTCGAGAAACATTCCGACCACCCCATTCGAGGCAGCTGCGCCGTCACCGATTCGATAACCTCCCGGCCTATGAGATGTGGTTGTAGTCCCATGTTATCTGAGTAATGTCAATCAATTGAATACACAAATCAACAACAGCAGGAATATGGCTTACCGAACTCAGTAGCAATCTGAATCATCTGCACCATTGCACTGACCGTGCCTGTCTCACCGGGATCCTGGTGGCGGATGATGGCCTCTGCAACGCTCTCAGCTTGGATTTGGGGAGCGCCGAACTCCTGCAACTTTGTCAAAGCGAGGAGACCGCCTTGGAACTCGAAGGACATGTGCGTGTTCGACATGTTTCCGTCGGTCGTGCCGATGTCGTGGAACAGGCAGGTCAGTGCCCAGGTTTCGAAGAAGGCACTTGAATGGTATTCCGGGAAGTAATGTTGGATGATGTAGATACCTGTCATACAGTGTTAGCGGTTGTGAAAGATGCAAAATTGCTACCATAACCGTGATGATGGGAGCATTGGTTTCGGAGAATACGTACCGTAGCAGAATACCCTCATGCTGTGATTGTAGGTCTCCTTGCTTAGATGCTCCTGTGCATACTTGCGCGCTTTGTCGGTCACATCGGTTACAGGCCAGGCGTCCATGGGGTCTGAGTAGGAATCATTGTTCATCTCTTTAACATCCTCAGCAGACGGGACGTTGGAGCGATTCCTTGGGACGGCAATCCAGCCAAAGTTCTCGGGTGTCCATTTTCCATGAGACATGTTGGATGCTTCGAATAGAATAGTACTCTTGAGGAGAGTTACAAGTGAGAAGAGGGTGTTGGTGATTAAGTTTGAAGTCGTGATGGCGCGACTTTAAGTACACCTGCTGTATACAGATGCGCCTTTCGTCCCAGATAGGTTAGACTTGACAAGAGCTCATCCAGGCGAAGTCTGCCGGGTAAGCGCGACACACATGTGCATCAGCGAATGACCTTTAGCTCTACATGCTGACGTTGTTTGACAAATTTTCGTCATTCAGGAATTCGTTTTGCCGTTACCAATTATTGCATCATGTACGTCATATTCATCTCCGACGACGGTGACGATCGATGATTAGAAGGTAAAGTGCGCCTGGCTGTGTGAGCAGAAAATGTGCCCTGTATAAAGTTACAAAGTGGTAGGCTTGGACCTATCGTCAAGCTCTTAGTATTGAGGAAAGAATACCAAGCCCTCGTTGGATAATATTGAAGATGAAATGAAGCATGAACATGATGGGTTGTTGGTTTACTTTATCGATAAGGGATGACTAAGAAATCATGACGGCCGAGGCCGCAGATCTACAGTTTTGGTGACATCAACGTGCACCGCGTCTCGCAGGCACGAACAAGCTTCAATTGCCGTTATGAAGCCACAACTCACAGCCAGAGCAGTGCGCTCAATACAGAGAGGATTACCACAAACCTCATCATGTCGAACAGCGTCCAAGCAATCCCCATTCCGAATACCTCCACCAAGCTCGCGATGCATAACCACCACCGCCCCCAAACACCATAACCCAACACCCAACACCACCTCCACCGTCGACCCAACCGAAGTATCGCACTTCAACGCGCTCGCATCATCATGGTGGGACCCCCACGGCCCCTCCCGCCTCCTCCACCTCATGAACCCGCTCCGCCACGACTTCATAACTTCATGCCGCTCTTCGACGTCCCCACCAAACCCGTCTGAGAAACTGCGATATCTAGACATTGGCTGCGGCGGCGGTATCTTCGCCGAATCAGCCGCGCGCCTACCCACCACCACCTCCGTCACAGCAATCGATCCCACACCACAAGTCCTCTCCATCGCCGAAGCGCACAAGAGGCGCGATCCTACACTTACCTCGCCGGGTAAACTTACATACCTAAATACTTCTATCGAAGATCTACCGCGTCCGAAATCAGACACAGAAGCCTTCGACATCGTTACGCTGTTCGAAGTAATCGAGCACGTAAATGCCCCAGGTCCGTTCCTCGAACACGTCCTCCCGCATGTGAAGCCGGGTGGCTGGTTGATAATGAGCACGATTGCGCGGACGTGGACGAGCTGGGTTGTTACGAATGTGGTTGCAGAGGATGTTTTGGGTATTGTGCCCAAGGGGACGCATGAGTGGAGTAAATACGTCAACGAAGAGGAGTTGAGGAGTTGGTTTGCAAAGCAGCCTGGTTGGGGCAATGTTAAGTGTATGGGTGTTGTGTATGTGCCGGGGTTGGGGTGGAAGGAGGTGGCGGGGAGTCAAGATTGGGGGAATTATTTCTTTGGTGTAAGGAGGGAGGGCTGAAGAGGGGGTAAAGAGGGTTGTGACGATATGATGCGATGCGTAAGTGTTATGGTCAGATGGGAGCATATGATACCCAAGTAATGTACAATATATACAACATCATAGCCGCCTGGCTTTACGTACGCTATGCTTCCTCGAAGTTTTCATACACGGCGCTGTAGCAACGTTATGCGAAGCGCTCCGCTACGTCTGTGTTTGTCGCTATGTTGCGCATGCACTCGGTCTTCCCCATAGCATCGTGTTGTGTTCCAACGCTTCCTCGTATCATTTCCCTCTCAGGATTGAATCCGAGATATCGCAATCGCTCTTGTCCCTTCTCAGCCGTCTTCATGACTTCGTTGCAGGTCTCTCCTCGAATGGTGTCGGTATGTTCCTGCCTGAGGCTACCGCTTCACTCCCTGTCTCCACGAGATCGTGTCCACCAGCCAATTTCCACGCCCTCAGGTAATCTTCGCCGGTGAATCGCTTTTCGTAGTTCTCCGCCTTGCCGACGTCGAGTCCTCGCACCTTTTCTAGACTGGAGTCTACAAAGGGTGTCAACTATGCAGATGTTAGTATGAGATCTCTACAATGTCTTCCCAGCTGTCGCAAGCCAAACAAATCATTGTACGCACCTCAATGTTATGTGTGCCATGAAGTGGGTACACATATGTCCGTATCTTGCTCCAGTCGGGTGTGAAGTTTCCGTATCGGTTGATTGTGCCCATGGATCCCACGCGGTTTCCCTTGTAGTATTCCTTGCCGGCTTGTTTGGGTGAAAGCGGCAGGCGCCGCAGCATCTTCTGGAGAGAGGCCGTGGGTTTCATGGCGGCGGTTTAGCTGGACCCTGCCGTTGTAGCGAGCGATGCGACGATGTCGATGATGGCCGCCATCAATCTTCGAGGCGTTTGCGGAGTTTGGAGCGGAGGTGGGCGTGGCCCGTGCGTCAAAAAAGTGCAAACCCAGAAGTTCTGCAGGTCGCTCCGCCGCGTTGCCTCTCAACCACAACGCCAAAATGCCGCCCCGAGTAGCACGCAGCTCGATTCAGAGCGCTGGCGCTTCAAGCAAAGGCAATGCGAAGTCGCGAAACCCCAAGAAAGCGCAGAAGCGCGCCCTCGATGCCTTCTCCATCGCCCAGTACGAGAATCCAGACGATGCGAAAGTGCGCAAGAACCGCTTAGGCGAATTCGACCCCGCCTTCAACCGGAAGCGCGCGCGCGATGACGACGAAGAGGAGGACGAGGATGAGGACGAGGAAGACGGGCCCAAAAGGCGCAAGAAGAAGTCTGGTGACGAGAGCTACGACGAAGGAAGCGACTCCGAGGGCAACACCTGGCAGATGGGCCACGTTGAAGACGACGACGATGACGAGAGCATCGACTCGGACGAGGCGTTTGGCGAGAGCGACGAAGAACGCTTCGAAGGCTACACGTTCAGAGGCAGTTCCAAGAACCACAAGGGAAAGGTAAAGAAGTCGAAACGAGAGCAAGACATGATCGACGAGGATGGCGACATCGATCTCGACGAGGGCGACAGTGCAGACGGAGAGGAAGATGATGAAGACGACCTTGGCGAAGATGCTATCGATCTAGCTACCGCCTTGGATCAATACGAGGAGGATGAGGCTGAGGAGCGAAGGGAAAAAGAGAAGAAGAAGAAGGCCTCCGCGTTCGACGACAGCGACCCGGAACCAAGCGAAGGCGAGGACCCCGCAGCAGATGGCGCATCCGACCTCTCGTCCGACGAAGAAGATGAGGATGACCGCCAGGCGCAATTGCAGAACTTGATCTCATCGTTGGCTTCACGAGAGGATGACAAACCCAAGGGCAGGAGAGTGGATGTTCATGAGTCGGCTGCACCGGACGAGTTTGGTGTCTCCCGCAAAGTCGATCTCCTCAGCTTTAAGCCCAAGGTTGCCGACGCGGAGAAAAAGAAGGCGCTCAAGCTACTGCAAGACGATAAATCCTCAAAACGAAACGACATTGCTAGGAAACTAGACGCGCCTTTACCGAAGCGACAGCAAGACAAGCTCGACCGCGCCGCGGCCAACGCCAAAGCGAACGAGACTCTTGAGAGGTGGACCGACACTATCAAGCAAAACCGCCGCGCCGATCATCTGATGTTCCCTCTACAGAACCCTACCGGAGGCGACATGGGTGAGAAGACACTCCTTCCCACAACGACCGCCGCACCTACGAACGATCTCGAAAGCACGATTCAGTCCATCCTCCAGCAGAGCGGGCTGTCGAACGGCAAGGAAGACGAGGAGAAGATACAGAAGTGGGAAGAGCTCCAGACGAACAAACTACCAGTTGAGGAGGTTCTCAGGCGACGCGCTGAACTGCGAATGCAACGAGAGCTATTGTTCCGTGAAGAAGTTCGCGCCAAGCGCATCAAGAAGATCAAGAGCAAGTCTTATCGGCGAGTACATCGTAGGGAGCGCGAGAAGCTGCTGGAGAAGGAACGTGAGCAACTCAAGGCCGATGGCGTTGATCTGTCTGAGGAAGAGCGCGAATATAACGATCGCCGGAGAGCTGAGGAACGCATGGGGGCTAAGCATCGCGAGAGCAAGTGGGCCAAAGGTATCAAGGCTACTGGAAGAGCCAACTGGGACCAGGACGCGCTCGATGGTGTGACTGAGATGGCCAGGCGGAACGAGGAGCTTCGTCGTCGTGTTGAGGGCAAGACCGTGCGCGATGACGATGAGGAAGCATCTGATGTGCCAAGCGAGGAGGAAGAGAGCGACGATGACGACGATCAATCGGACAACGACGCACTACAACAATCTCTCGGCAAGCTCAAGTCGAACCCCTTCTCGACTAAGGAGTCTAAGCTGGGTCAGATGGCCTTCATGCAGAAGTCCGAGGCTGCGAAACGCGCACAGAACGACGAAGCCGTTGAAGCCCTAAGACGCGAGCTTGCAGGTGAAGACAGCGATAACGCCGAAATCGATGAGAATGCTACCAAGGCAGGACGGAGAAGATACGGTCCCAACGCGGACGTGTCAGCTCCGGCTATACAGATCAACCGCAGCGAGTTCGAGGAGCACGAAGGGTCCGACGCAGAGAACGAAAACACCCCGACTGCGGAAGGCGAAGAGTCTGTTGCGGACGCAGCATCAGCTAGAAAGCCCGCCAAAAAGAACGGCTTGAGCGGTCTCTCGAATGGCGCCCGTAAAGAGCGCAAGGCTGCCGCGCCTGTAGAGAACGGCAGCGGAGAGTCCAACCCTTTCTTGACCAAGGCGAAGAAAGAGAAGAAAGCTACAACAGAGCCTGAGCTCTTCCCAGCCACAAGTAGCACAACCACCGCTACGCAAGCTAAGGCCGTCGCTCCTAAGCCTACGCCCAAAGCCAAGCCTCAAAAGAAGTCAAAGCAAGCGGCCAAACCTCAAGAAACCAAGGTAGACGACTTCTTGAAGCAACGCGTTACAACGGCCGATGACGATGGTTGGGCGACTGTCATTGGTGGTCAAGAAGATGAGGACATGGACGAGCAAGGCACCGAAGACAAGGGTATCGATCTTGACGTCGTCATGCGCAACCAAGCTCTCACAGCAAAGGGTTTCGCCGGCGACGACGTTGAAGCCGACTTCGACGCCGAAAAGAAAGCCACCATCGCAGATGAAGAAGCAACCGAAGAAGTTTCTATCCTCCCTGGCTGGGGCTCCTGGACCGGTGACGGCATGTCCAAGGCCGAGAAGAAGCGTAACCTTGGCGCCAAAACAGTCACTAAGAAACCCGGTATCGATGCCGATAGGCGGAAAGACAGGAAAATGGACAAGGTCATCATCAATGAGAAGAGGCAGAAGCCTAACGTCAAGTATATGGCTAGCCAGCTACCATTCCCGTTCGAGAACAGGGAACAGTATGAGAGGAGTTTGCGCGTGCCGAAGGGCAAGGAGTGGGTCACGAAGAAGACGCATCAAGACGTTACGAGGCCGAGGGTTATTGTTAAGCAGGGTGTTATTGCACCACTGCGGAAACCGCTGGTGTGAGCGGACGGTATTAAGCAAAGGTTCGCTTGCCTTGCAATGGAAGCGGATCAACTTTTCAATCTTACTTGTCTGTCATGTGCTGCCAGTCACTTCTGCAAGCCACGTGGAGAAGCTCCTCCTTCCACTTACACCGTGACTTCCCCCTCCTTCCACCTTTCCTTACAGAGTCACATGTTACGATCCACCACTGCATGTCATTCTTCCCTTGTCTTTCTTCTTTCTACTCAGTGATAGATCGTACATTCCTTCGCCATGCCGCCGTGGTGCGACCGTTTGACCGCGCAAATGCGCAAACCTCGTGGTATTGAGCAAACTAGCCAGGCGTCACTTCCCAACCCTCACTGCGCCCATCGCGACAGTAACACCAGACAATGGGTCTTTCGCAGCCTGCAGACCGCATCCTACAACCTAAACCGATATCACCATTACCCACCTACTTGTCTATCAACTGTATTGATACACGATCACTATCACGCCTACGAGCATACACGGAGAAGACTGACACGCAGTTCACATCGAGCATTCGGCTCAGGCAGCTCCCTTCCAAACCCCTAAGATAGCGTCGATGGGACCATCGCAATCCCGCGTCGGCGACCCCCGACCGGTTTCGAAGTCTTCGAAATCTAGCAAGAAGGATAGTTGGTTCGGAACGTTGCGCGAGACGCATAAAGGCATCAAGACCTCGCTAGGCTATAACGGGTCGACCGTTCCCGACGAGATACCTCCCGATAACATCTTCACGCCTATACAGCAAGACAGCATTCTTCCGCAAATACCGATTGGTCGTCATCACCCAGTCCCTAGAACGGGCGTGGAGGATGACGACAAGACGACTCTGCACACGAACAAGTTCTACGCCAATGCATTTCTGGGTCAGCAGAACCAGCCTATTTGGACACATCCCTACTCGATATGGTGGGGCAAGTCGGCATCGGATGTGGGAACGGTGCAAACATGGGGCATGTGCGTGAGCCATATTGAGGAGAAGGATTTGGTCTTCGAACCGGGACATCCTGCAAAGGGCTAT